AATGGACGTGTTCAGACACAGCCCCGCCGCAGGCGCCGATGCGCTGCTGTAGAGTCAGTGTGGGCCAGATCGGGGACTGGCACGAGGGCGCTTTCCCAAACCAGTGCGAGCAAACCCGCCGCAGGCGCCGATGTGCGTGTTCTGACAAGTTCAACGCGGGGGGGATCGCAGGTGGGCCACCCGGAACGAATGCAAAAAACAACCCGCCGCAGGCGCCGAATTTTGAGTTTGCTCGGTGAACGTAGGTTGGGTCGCGGGTGGGTCGCGGGCTCCCCGCCTTCAACTGGGAGGGATTCGAAAACAGCCCGCCGCAGGCGCCGAACATTTTGATTTGCACACTGAACGCGGTTTGGGTCGCAGGTTCTCCACCTGGAACAAATTCACAAGAAACCCGCCGCAGGCGCCGAAGCTTTGACTTGTTCAGTGAACGTAGTTTGGGTCGCGGGTGGGCTGCGGGCTCTCCACCTCCACTTGGAAGGAATTCAAAAACAGCCCGCCGCAGGCGCCGAACATTTTGATTTGCACACTGAACGCGGTTTGGGTCGCGGGTGGGTCGCAGGTTCTCCACTTGGAACAAATGCAAAAGAATCGAAGCTTTGACTTGTTCAGTGAACGTAGTTTGGGTCGCGGGTGGGTCGTGGGCTCTCCACCTCCACCTGGAAGGACTTCCAAAACAGCCCGCCGCAGGCGCCGAACATTTTGATTTGCACACTGAACGCGGTTTGGGTCGCGGGTGGGTCGCCGGTTCTCCACCTGGAACGAATGCAAAAGAAACCCGCCGCAGGCGCAAAACGTTTTGGGTGGGTCGTGGGGTGGGTCGCGGATGGGTCTCGGGGTGGGTCGCGGGTGGGTCTCAGGGTGGGTCGCCGGTGGGTTGCGGGTGGGTCGCCGATGCAAAAGAAACCCGCCGCAGGCGCCGAAGTTTTGATTTGTTCAGTGAACGTAGTTTGGGTCGCGGGTGGGTCGCGGGCTCTCCACCTCCACCTGGAAGGAATTCAAAAACAGCCCGCCGCAGGCGCCGAACATTTTGATTTGCACACTGAGCGCGATTTGGGTCGCGGGTGGGTCGCAGGTTCTCCACCTGGAACGAACGCAAAAGAAGCCCGCCGCAGGCGCAAAACATTTTGGGTGGGTCGCGGCTGGGGCGCCGGTGGGTCGCGGGGGTGGGTCGCGGGTGGGTCTCGGGGTGGGTCGCCGGTGGGTCGCGGGTGGGTCGCCGATGCAAAAGAAACCCGCCGCAGGCGCCGAAGTTTTGATTTGTTCAGTGAACGTAGTTTGGGTCGCGGGTGGGTCGCGGGCTCTCCACCACCTGGAAGGAATTCAAAAACAGGCCGCCGCAGGCGCCGAACATTTTGATTTGCACGCTGAACGCGTTTTGGGTCGCGGGTGGGTCGCAGGTTCTCCACCTGGAACGAATGCAAACGAAACCCGCCGCAGGCGCAAAACATTTTGGGTGGGTCGCGGGGTGAGTCGCGGGTGGGGCGCCGGTGGGTCGCGGGTGGGTCGCAGGTTTTCCACCTGGAACGAATGCAAAAGAAACCCGCCGCGGGCGCCGAAAATTTTGGGTGGATCGCGGTGTGGGTCGCGGGTGGGTCGCGGGTGGGTCGCTGGGTGGGTCGCGGGTGGGTCTCGGGGTGGGTCGCTGGTGGGTCGCTGGTGGGTCGCCGATGCAAAAGAAGCCCGCCGCAGGCGCCGAACATTTTGATTTGTTCAGTGAACGTAGTTTGGGTCGCGGGTGGGTCGCGGGTTCTCCATGTCCACCTGGAAGGAATTCGGAAAAAGCCCGCCGCAGGCGCCGAACATTTTGATTTGTACACTGAATGCGGTTTGGGTCGCGGGTGGGTCGCAGGTTCTCCACCTGGAACGAATGCAAAAGAAGCCCGCCGCAGGCGCCGAAAATGGGTGGGTGGGTCGCGGTGGGTCGCGGTGGGTCGCGGGTGGGTCGCGGGTGGGTCGCGGGGTGGGTCGCGGGTGGGTCGCGGGGGGTCGCGGGTGGGTCGCGGGTGGGTCGCGGGGTGGGTCGCGGGTGGGTCGCGGGGCGGGTCGCGGGTGGGACGACGACAACAACAAACAACAACAACAACAAACAACAACAACAAGAATCCGCATCGCGGAATTCCACTTCAGCCACGCACCCAGGGACAGTGAATGACCGTTCGGTTCAGCCCCCTCACTCTGATATATATATATATATATATATATATATATATTTATATATATATATATATATATATATATATATATATATATATATATATATATATACAGGTTAAGGGGCCCCTGCCGTTGCGACCTGGAGGGGTTTTCTGGCCTTCGTGGCACCGTGGTTTAGCCCCACATGTGTGGCCCAGAGGGGGGGGCGGCCTTCGTTGTACCGCGGTTTAGCCCCGGATATCTGGCCCTGAGGGGGGAGCGGCTTTCGTTGCACCGTGGTTTAACCCGCAAGCGTCCTCTCCGTAACCCGCTGTGGCTTGGAGGATTGGCTTTCGTGGTTGGCCGTTCTGGCCCGCAAGGGGGGCCGGCCTTCGATGCACCGTGGTGTAGCCCCCCAGATTGGGGGCTTCGGAATTAGTATCCCATGGCCCTGTAGGCGGCCCAAAATGGTTCCAAGACGGCCCCAGATGTCCTGAAAACGGCCCGTGTGGTTTCAAATTCGCCCAAGAAGGCTCCAAGATTGCCCCGTAGGCTTCGCGACACCCGAAGATCGGTCCAAGGAAGCTCCCAGGAGGCCGTGGAGATTGAAAAGTTATGGGTTCCCAGCACTTTCGATTTGGAACGTCCAAAAATGCCCCAGACCCCCAAGATCGCACCAACAAGGCCCAAAAGAGCCTCGCGATGGTCCGCAGCTCGCCCAAAGATTGCCCAAGAAAGGCCCAAAGCAGCCAAGAAAGGCCCCAGGAGGGCCCAAGAGGGCGCCAAGGGGATCCAAGACGGCCCCAAGAGCCCTCCAGACGGACGCGAATGACCCCGGACGGCCCAGGGGGGCCCCAAGCCAGGCCAAGACCAGCTGGACGACCCGACAGCCTCCCGAGAGAACCCCGAGACGGGCCCCAGATGGGGATTTCGATGGGGCGCCGGGAACCCAGCTCCCCAAGAGAGCCCCGAGTATCCGCAACCCAATAAGATGTCCCAAAGAGGCCCCCAAGAGCCCCCCTAGCAGACCGTCGGGAGCCCCAAGAGACGCCCCCCAAAAGCCCCAAGCCGGCCCATAAGGACCCCAGTGGCGCATGGCAACCCAAGTGGCCCCCAAGAGAGCCCAAGAGGGCCCAGTGTCACCCTCGCCGGAAAGGATCCACCTTGACGGTTCATCGAGGGTTCCCGAGAAACCCAGATATGGCTTCAGGTAGGTCCAAGCGGATATATGATGAGGAGCAGGCGGAGGAGTGGTGGCGGATCAGGGCGAAGGGGACAACGATTTCAGAATGAATGCGACGACGAGGTTTGTGATAGCCACTGGAGAGAGAGAGAGAGGAAAAAACAAGAGAGAGGAGGAGGAGGAGGAGGAGGAGGAGGAGGAGGAGGAGGAGGAGGAGGAGGAGGATCATGAAGATGGGTAAGGAGGAGGAGGATACTCATCAGACGGAGGTGGAGGAGTGATGATGGGGACGAGGGCGACAGCAAGAGAGAGAGAGAGAGAAAGACAGGAGGAGGCGGATAACGGCGAGGCGGATTTGGGTTCAGGGTGGCACGCGACGGCCCAAGCGCACAAACGCACTAGCACACGCCGCTCCCGCTTGCCCCCCCCCCCCTCCGGGCCTCCTGGGCTTCTCCCTGGCCGCTGAAAACAGCTGCGGAGGGAATGAGTGAGTGACAAGAGCAGCCCAACAAGGCCAAAGGTTTAGAGCGCTGTTCGTCAACTTTGACACGCAATGTGAAACGCATGCCCAATATTGAGCACGTGTTTCCATGACGTGGTCGTGGTGGGTTGGTACCGGGATCCTTCCGATGATTTGCATGACGCTGGCTTGGCCCCGGCTAGAACCTAAGCGCGCACGAAGCTCGCGTGGTTCTATATATATATATATATATGATCGCCAGAGAGAGAGAAAGAGAGAGAGAGAGAGAGAGAGAAGCGGGGAACTGGAGCTGTGAAGCACCCCCGTGCGCTGGCGGCCCTCCCACCGCTGCGCGCGCCCGCTTCCATGGCCATCGCAAGGGGTACCTCCCCAGTCCAGCGTCGTGGCGCGTGGCGCTGGTGCCGCCGCCGCCCCGACCCCAACCCCGCTGCGCCGCGACCCCGACCCCTCGGCTGCGCGTGAGAGTGGCCTGTCGCCGGCGTGACCTGCGGTGCGGGCCCACGAGGGGGCCCACCCTCACCGGCCTGCGCACTCGAGCCCGGCCCCGCCGCGGACCCCCGAGAGCCAAGGGAGCCCCCCAGTGGCACGTCCTTCCCAGGGCCGCTCCCGCGCGCTGGCCGGAGACCGACCTCCCCCCGCGCCCGATGGTTCCAGCACGGTCATTATCATCAGTCGTATTTCGACACGTCCCTCGCACGCTTGGCATCGCTCGGACGTGTGTTTGTTCTCAGAGAGGACCATCGATGGGGCATCTGGGATCATCCTGCGGAAAATAAGCACGGGGAGCGGACGCCCGAGCGATGTCGTGGCCCCACAGGGAGCTCCTCCGAAGGCCCCGGTGGGAGGCTCGCACGGCGCCGCCGCGCCAATCTTGGTTTCCTGGATGGGGTCGGAGTAGAGGGGGTCGGAGGATCGCGCCGCATCACGGATGCATCGACGATGCGGCTCGATGCGGAGTCCTATTTGCTTCACGCCGATGCATCGCCGATGCATCGCCAGCGTCGCTGGTGCATCGCCAGCCAGTGCATCGCCGATGCATCGGCGATGCATTGCCGATGCGGTACGATCCTCCGACTCTATCTGCTCCGACCCCATCCAGGGGGTCTCTAGCCCACTTCGGCACACCGCTCACACGCTGCGTGGCCACACAGGGAGCTGAACACCGAAGGCGCCCCGTCTCTACGCCCGCCTGCGCGCCCCGAGGACCTGTCGGCGCCGCCGCCGCCCGCCGCGTTGCCGGGAGCGGGCCAGGAGCGCGCTGCGGCCCCCTCCTCTCTTGGTCGGGCCCTTCGCAGGAGGACGGGGAGGAGGAGGAGGAGGAGGAGGAGGAGGAGGAGGTGGAGGAGGAGGACCAGTGTAAACCCAAGAGTCATCAACGATGTTGTCATAAACCCTCCCTCCAAGCTCCCTCTTCACAGGCCCCTACAAGAGTTCATTTCCACTGAGGGAGCTGACTCGTTGGAAAACAACCGTTTGACGACCCTGACGCATGTCAAACATCATATTCGGGACTCCAAAGCCACGGATCAACTTGATGGTTGCATGTTGACGACCCTGAACCGTGCCAGAACGTCATTCCTGCGATTTCGAGACCGCTGAATGATTCTCCTTTCAAAAAAAAGATCGAGTCTACCCCCCCTCCCCCCGGCGTTGTCGGCCCCCCTGCTGGGTATGTAAATCATACTTGATTATGACCACATGTCCATCCTAAATATGAATTTACACTATCCCAGGGGGGCCGATATCGACCCCCCTGAGGTTCCCTTGTCAGAAAACGATACGCGGGGGAAATCTGTTGTTCTAACATAACACTTTTTCGCGATACATACCCTTGCAAACACTGGGACGAAGTGCACACGCGCGCGTCGTCGCGCGCGCATGCCGAAATCCTTCAAAAACGTTCGGTGTCAGAAGGATTTCGCAATCGAGTTTCCAAAACACATACAACAACACAGGGTTTCGCAACACTGATTTTTGCTACAAAAGCTTACGCGCGAGCTCTGTCGAAATCTTAAGAAAACCATAGGTTTTACAAGATTTTTACAACATGCTACCAAACAGGCTTCGCGCGCGCATGTCAAAATCTGTCGAGCGCCCTTGCGCGTGTGCCGTCGCCAGAATCCTTTACAAAAAATGGGACGAAGAGCAGACGCGCGCGTCGTCGCGCGCGTATGCCGAAATCCTTGAAAACCCATCGGCTTCGGTGGCCGGTGGCCCGTGGTGTCCCGCCGGTGTCCCGCCTCGGGCTGAGGCGCGGCCAGACCAAATGATTCCTCTCCGGGGGCTGGTGGCCCGCGGTGTCCCGCCAGTGTCCCGCCGGTGCCTCGTCGATGTCCCGATGCTGATGATGATGATGATGATGATGATGATGATGATCATGATGATGATGATGTCGATGATGTTGATGATGATGATGATGGTGGTGGTGATGATGATGGTGTCCCGATGATGATGATGATGATGATGATGATGATGATGATGATGATGATGATCACGTTGACGATGTTGATGATGGTGATGGTGGTGATGATGATGGTGTGCCGATGATCATGATGTTGATGATGATGTTGCTGCTGATGATGATGGTGTCCCGATGATGATGATGATGTTGATGCTGATGTTGATTATGTGAGATGATGATGATGATATGATGGTGGTGATGATGAAGATGATGATGCTGGTGTCCCGATGATGATGATGCGGCTGATAATGATGATGCTGATGATGGTGATGATGGTGATGGCTTCCCGATGATGATGATGGTGTTGATGATGATGTCCCGATGATGATGATGGTGATGATGAGGATGCTGATGGTGTGATGATGATGATTTTGATGATGGTGGTCCGATGATGGTGATGATGATATTAATGTTGATGATGATGGCGTCCCGATGATGATGATGGTGATGATGATGTTGATGACGATGATGACGGTTTCCCGATGATGATGATGATGATGATGATGATGATGATGATGATGATGATTATGATGATGATGATGATGAGGTTGCTGATGATGGTGATGGTGTCTCAATGATGCTACTGATGATGTTGATGGTGCTGTTCATGAGGATGATGAGATAATGGTGATGGTGGTGTTCCGATGATGATGATGGTTTCCCGATGATGATGATGCTGATGATGATGATGATGATGTTGGTGATGATGGTGTCCCGATGATGATGATGGTGATGATGATGATGGTGATGATGATGGTGATGAGGTGATGATGATGATGGTGTCCCGATGATGATGATGATGATGATGATGATGATGATGATGATGATGATGGTGGCGATGATGATGATGATGATGATGATGATGATGATGATGATGATGATGATGATGATGATGATGATGATGATGATGATGATGTTGATGACGGTGATGACGATGATGTTGATGATGATGATGATGACGTCGATTGTGATATCGATTGTGATATCGATAGTTAGATCGATAGTGAGACTGGATGTGAGATCGATTGTCATATCGATAGTGAGATCGATAGTGAGATCGATTGTGAGATCGATAGTCAGATCTATTGTGAGATCGATCGAATGGAATAGATCGAATGAGATCGATTGTGAGATCCATCGAGTGAGATCGATCGAGCGAGACCGATAGTGAGATCGATGATGAGATCGATAGTGAGACCGGTCGAGTGAGACGTTGGTTCCTCCCCCCCCCGAACCTCCTTATCACCCGAAGGGTGGTCGTATAGGTATGATTCTCTGGAGGTTTCCAGAATTTCCTCGGGGATGTCTTTGAAGTGGTCTGTGGGTGCTGCTTTCGTGGCGGCCGCTGTGGACTGCCAGTTTTGTGCGTTGCACGTGCGCGGCCCCGTGCGCAGCCCAGTAAGCGTATCAGGTTTCGGGCGTGGTCCGCGCTCCCCGTTTTGGGGGCTTCGAGGGCCGTCCGCTGTTGAACGTGCGTTTGGGTTGGCTGTCCGAGACAACATATCGGTCAGGCCCTATGGGATGGCAGAGAAGAAAATCCTCCTCTTCCTCCTCCTCCTTCTCCTCCTCATCCTCATCCTCATCCTCATCCTCATCACCACCATTATTCTCATCATCAGCAGCATGAGCCCTCCCCTCCTTCCTCCCTCCCCTACTGCTTCTGCCCCCCCCTCTCTCTCTCTCCTCTATCCTCCCTCCTGCTGCAGACGGGGCTTGCGCGGCGCAGCGGAAAAAAGGAACGACAACCCGGCTCCACAGAGAAGGGTTGGGGGAGGCGGTTGAACCGCCTCCCCAACCCTTCTGCGCCGCCATGATCTTGTCGCGCCGCCTGGGGGCATCGGGTCCAAACAACAGGTGGTTGGTTGGGGTTGGTTGCTGAATGTATTATCCCTGTTGTGCGTATCGTCCTCGCAGACCCAGTGCCACAGCGACGAGTGCAGGCAAGACATCCCTTTTACTAGCATGTGTGCTCGAATTCGTTGCGCAGGTAAGGATGCAGCCAAGGTTGCAGAGTCTTGGCCGAGAATAAGGACATCGTGGTCAGAGCGCGTGTGTTGCGCATTTCCTCTTCGCGAGCCTTGAGGCATCGGGTCTCAGATCTCAGACCTCCTGCATCTTCAGAAAAGCGCGGACCCGCAGAACTTAGACCCGACCCCAACGGACCGCGTTTCCTGTGCGGGTTGTTCTGTGATGGCCCTAGGGACCGACATTCGCTCCCAGACGCCGAAATCGAGAAGAATACGGGCATCGAAACGTTCGCGACGCCAGAAGTATTGGCCCACGCTTCCACTGCTGCACAAAGAACATCTTACGACCCCTCCCAGACACATTTCCTGACACGCTTTTCGGTCCCACGAGGGCCACCCAGGAGGCCGCCAAAAAGCGACAGTCGCCCACACCCCGCCCTTCCATCCTCTTTCCGCCACAGGGAGCTCGTCCCATAGGGGGTCCCCCATAGGGGATCCCTTCTCAGCGTCGGCACATTTCAGTGTCCAGCCCCCATCCGGCTCGCGGACGCGCGTCAACCCCTACAGCGTTGTAGAAGAATTTGCCGGTATTGGATCGTCGTCAGGACCTGGCCAGAACACAGGGAGGAATACCCCCTCCTCCGGAGCACTCGAGGCCAACGGGGCCAGGGCAAATACAGCCCGCAGAAGGCCTGGGTGGTAGCCACCAGCCCGCCGAGTCCCCTTCGGGCAGGGTGATGAGCACACGCTGCACCTGGTGGAAGCAGGAGGAGGCGGAGGGGCAGGGGGAGAAAGGGGAGGAGGAGGAGGAGGAGGAGGAGGAGGAGGAGGAGGAGGAGGAGGAGGAGACAGCCAGAGGAGAAGGAGGAGGAGTCAGGAGAAGTGGAGGAGAAGCAGAGGAGGAGGAGGCAGGAGGAGGCCGAGGCGGAGGAGGCCGAGGCGGAGGAGGCACAGGCGGCGGACGAGGATGGAGGAGCAGGCAGAGGATGAGTTAGGAGGAAGAGGCAGGAGAAGGAGGCAGGAGTAGGAGGAGAAGGAGGAGGAGGAGGAATATCAGGGTCAGGGCGCTCCCCCCCTTCCGCCCCCCTTGGAGCCCCGTGAGGACTGGAGCAAGGGCCCTCCGACCATCAAGTTCTACATGTGCCACACTCGGCGGCAACGACGGCGACGACGACGACGACGACGACGACGACGACGACGACGACGGGTCGCGGCGAAGACTGCGACGACGCGCCCTCTGCGTTCGCAATTGCACGACTCAGGTGTAAAATCAAACTCCCCATCTGCCTTCTCTTGCTCAGTCTCCAGCTCCTCCTCCTCCTCCTCCTCCTCCTCCTCCTCCTGGTCCTCCTCTGGAGGGGGAAGGAGGAAGGCTTAATATTGCCAATTCGGGGTCAGGGGGGTGGGGTGGGAGATCCTTTTCGCGATCCTACCCCCCACCCCGCCTTCCTCCGTTGAAACGGGTCGGGCGCCCGAATTTCTCGAGGTTGCCCGCGGCTCGGGCAAGAGTGCGCCCAGTACGGCACGGCGGTCTCAGGCATGTGCCGGTGGAGAACTGTATTGGGTTGGGTCCTGCTCCTCCATCCTCATCCCGCTCCTCTGAATCCGCCTCCCACCTCCCGTGAGCCCCCAGAGCACCCCAGAACATCCCATGGTACCATAAGGCGAGCACCCCAAAGCAGGTAAAGAGTGCCAGCAGGTAAGCCCGCATGCTCCGCACATGGCGTGCACGCTGCTGTGTTTCCAGCCTCGCTGTCCACGCGTCTCTTGTCTGCCTCCTCTGCGTGTCCGGTGGTCCAAAGATGGGGCCTTGACGGATGAGGCCCGAAGGAGAAATGGCCTCGAACAGCGAAGGTCATGCTTCGGATTATTCTCCCGTCCTTTGGGCCCCATCCCTCATCCCTCTGGGCCCCATCTTTGAAACGCCGACATATCTCCCGCTGCCCACGCAGAGCCCGCGGCGACGGGGCACACGCTGACATGTGCCTAGGTAAGTCTGGCTCTGCGTTGTCCTCCTCGGGCTCTGTGTTGTCCTCTGTTCCTCCTCCTCCTCCCCCGCCATTCCTTTTCCTTATCAACAGCTTCTCCCTGTTGCAACCCGAAACCAGTTTTTAGGGCGGGCCAGGCATTTCGCTTGGAACTTCCTCACGATTTACGACTCTGAAGCTTGAACATTGGCAACAGCTTCACGGATTGAGGGCGGGTGGTTGTCAAAATGTGGCTCTCGCCTGAGCGCCGCGCACAGTTTTTGTAAACATGTGCAAGAGTTTCACGGATTGAGGGCGGGTGGTTTTCAAAGTGTGGTTCTCGCCTAAGCGCCGCACACAGTTGTTTTAAACATGTGCAAGAGTTTCACGGCTTGAGTGCGGGTGGTTTTCAACATGTGGTTCTCGCTTCAGCGCCGCGCACATTCGTTTCAGACGTTTGCAGGAGCTTCATGGATTGAGGGCGGGTGGTTTTCAAAATGCGGTTCTCGCATCAGCGCAGCGCACATTCGTTTTATACATTTGCAAGAGCTTCACGGATTGAGGGCGGGTGGTTTTCAAATGTGGTTCTCGCCTAAGCGCCGCGCACATTCGTTTTTAACATGTGCAAGAGTTTCACGGAATCCCATCAGAAACGTATGTACCAGAAGCGGCGTTTTGGAAGGATTCAGGATTATGCGGGTGCAACAGTTACGTTGATTCGCTGTGTTGAAGTCCTAGCCATGGCGTTCTGGCACGATTCAGGATCGCCCAAACACAACAGTCAGGTTGATCCGTGGTATTGAAATCCCGAGAACAGATTTAGCATGCTTCAGGGTCATCAAACGGGTGTCTTCCAACGAGGCAGTTCCATCAATGGAAAATTGTTGTAAGGGGCCTATGAAGAGGGAGCTTGGAGGGAGGATGTATTCCAACATCATTGATGACTCTTGGGTTCACAGTGGTCCTCCTCCTCCTCCTCCTTCTCCTCCTCCTCCTCCTCCTCATCATCATCCTAGCGTGCAGACTTCTGTGGCCATTTTGGTTCAAGGCCAGTGGCTGCGGGATTCGCGGCCGGGCTGGCTTGGCGGGCGCCGCGGCGCGCCCAACATGCCGTTCCCCCCACGATCCAGGGACTCGGCCCCAAGACCGCGCGCAGCAGGGAGCGCCTTGGCCTCGCTCCAGGGGGCTCGCCCCGGGGCCGCCCGCAGCAGGGCGCGGTGGCAAGCAGCGTCTGCTCCGAGGACCTGCTCGGTCGCTGGGCGGTGTGCGCCCAGCAGGGGTCCGAGGACGAGTCCCTCGGCCGTTGGGCGGCGCGACCGAAGCAGGGCGCGACGACAGTCCTCACCCCGCGCTTCGAGGACTCCCCGCGGCATGGAGGTGCGGAAGGACCGGGGCAACAAGATCCGCAGGGGCGTCTTGTCCCCAGAAACGGAAGAGCTGCGGAGACTCTTGCGGCAGGACATGGACGATTGCCTGCGGGACATCGTGATGGAGGAGGTCCAGGCCCCGCGCCAGGACCTGCGGGAGTGGCTGTCCTTCGGGCGCGCGGCCAGCAAGGCTGCCCAGCAGGCGCAGCCCTCCGTGGACGATACCGCGGACCCACTGAAATGTGCTGCCGGGCTGCAGCCGCGTGTGCAGCCGCTCGCCTTTTTACGGGACGAGATCGATGAGGTTCTGAGCTTCGGCCCAGCCAGCGGCGACGTCGGCGCCAAGCATCCCGGTCCAACGTCCGCCGGGGACGCCGCGGCCGTGCGGGCGCGGGCGCTGGGGCCATGGTGGAGGCCCTGCAGTCTGGCGAGAGCAGGTCCATCGTGGCCAGTAAATCGGAGTTCAGCATGGGCTCCAGCGGCGCAGCGCCACGACGAGGACGTGGGACACCGGCCCCCGACTGCGTTTTGATGAATCTTGGTTCGGACGAGATTCCAGTAGAAGAAGTCGAGCACTTCCCGAAGAGAGCACAAGAAAGTGACAAGAAAGAAGCAAGTGACAAGAAAGAAGCGTTGGAAATGATGAAAGCACTTGGTTCCGACACAGAAAAGGCGTTCCACCAGATCGCACGACCCTATCTCAAAGATCAAACACAAAAAGCTGGGCGCCGTACGCCACCCGGCAGCCGGGGAGACGCGAGAAGGGGTGGCGGTCTGGAGTTTCGAGGATGTCGGTGCGGAGCGGTGTTGCTGGCAAGACGGCAACGGATATATACAAGTGGCACGTGTGTGCCCAGGCTCATACAAAAAAGCTGAAGGGGCGTTTGAAGCAGGAGTGGAATGCAACAGCGAAGTCGCACTCGAGCGCAAGTGGGGTTGCCACACCTTGCGATGTGCGTACCAGGGCCCCCCAGGAAGCCTCAGGAGGCCCGACTTGGATACCAGAAGAGGCTCCAGGAGGCCCCAGGATTGTGAGTGTTGTGTGTGTGATGTGTGCTCTGTGTTGTGCGTGCTTTTTGCGCGTTGTAGGTGTTGTGTGTATTATGTTTGTCTAGCGTGTGATGTGTTGGGCGTGATTTGTGTCTGTGTGTGCATGTAGTTCTGAGGCCCGAGGATGCCCCAGGAGGCCCCAGGCGGCCTCAGGAGGCCCCAGGAGATCCCAGGAGGCTTCAGGAGGCCCCAAGAGGCTCCAGGATGCCGCAGGAGGCCCCAGGAGGCCCCAGGAGGTTTCAGGAAACCGCCAGGAGGCTCCGAGGCGGGGTCTGGGGTACCAGAAGGTACAGAAAGCCCCAGGAGGCCCCAGGAGGTTCCAGGACGCTCCAAAGAGGCTCCGAGGCGGGGTCTGGGGTACTAGAGGGTACGTCGGGGCTCGATTTTGGGAGGATGTCTCAGGCGAAACCGCCATTCTCTGAGAATCGGGGTCAAACACATTGAACTTACTATGTGTTTTTCCAGGTTTTATGTTAAACTGTTAAAGTTCCCATGTTGAACTCGCTAGGGACATCCTCGGAATTCTGAAAATCGGTGGCACACCTCACGCAATTTCAATGATTTTGACCCCGATTCTCAGAGAATGGCGGTTTCGCCTGAGACATCTTCCCAAAATCGAGCCCCGACGTATCTTCTGGTACCCCAGACCCCGCCTCGGAGCCTATTGGGAGCCTCCTGGAACCTCCTGGGGCCTCCTGGGGCTTTCTGTACCTTCTGGTACCCCAGACCCCGCCTCGGAGCCTCCTGGGGGTCTCCTGGAACCTCCTGGGGCCTCCTACGGCTTCCTGGAGCCGCTTGGGGCCTCCTGGAGCCTCCTACGGTCTTCTGGGGCCTCTTGAGGCCGCCTGGGGCCTCCTGGGGCCTCCTGGGGCATCAGAACTACATGCACACACAGAGACACAAATCACACCCAACACATCACACGCTAGACAAACATAACACACACACAGAATACCTACAATGCACAGAAAACACGCACAACAGAGAGTACACACACAACACTCACAATCCTGGGGCCTCATGGAACCTCTTCTGGTATCCAAGTCGGCCCTCCTGCTGAGGTTTCCTGGGGGGCCCTGGTACACACATCGCAAGGTGTGACAACCCCACTTGCGCTCGAGTGCGACATCGATCTTAGATTCTTCTGCGTTCACCTCCTGCCTCTTCCCCTTCTCTTAGGCACGCCCCGGCGGCGCCGCCCCAGCTTCCCCTTCTCCATCTCCGATCCTGCAGTCATGGTGTCTTCCTGCCTCAAACGCCCTTTCAGTTTTTTGTATGAGCCTGGGCACACACGTGCCACTTGTACATATGTTGTGGGCGTGGTTCCGCGTGACCCCGAGTCGGGGAACGTAGGCGAATCTGTCGCGTGGGGGACGTGTGGTGGTCCACGAAAGCCATAAAGCTTTGCAGGGCTGTCTCCCATGCATCACAAACTAGGGAACAAATTAGGGAGTCATTCGGAGAGTACAAGGAACGACATATGAGCATAGTTGGAAGCACACGGGCTGCTGGTACGTCTGGCCGCATCGACATGCCGCGTCGCAGCGGCGGCTCACGACATTCGGCGGACGACACTGACGTGCCATATGTGAGGTTCTGGCTGCGCAGCATTGTCCAGGCCCGTTCATACAGCTGCCTCCTCTTCCTCTCTATGCTGGTCACCATGTGTTATCGCGTATGTATTGGGTAGATTCGCAAAGTTTATCCCGACGGCAGGTCTATCTACAAAAGGATTGTCCGTTCACTGCCGCGAAGTGTTGCTTCAACGAATTTTTCATCTCCGAGCTGCTCATTCGGATTGGAGCCTCCATATCGGTGTTGGAGCTTGCGCGAGGTAGACGGACGATCACCGACTTGCTATGTGTGTTGGGATCTCTTGTGGATATTATCATCCTGCCTTCCTGGGGCAAGAACACCGAGACCGATTTGACAGTCTTCTGTGCGCTGACGCTGTTCAAACTTCTGGGGGTCCTCCAGCTACTCCGGCTGAGCAGAGCCTCTTCAGACGTGAACATATTTTTGTAGGGGATCCTCGCCTGATTGAAAGACTCCCCCATCGTTTGGGCCATCCTCACTTTCATGTTTGATTTTCAGTGTTCTGCTGAGGATGTACGCCAGCGACGAATTGCAGGAGAGAGAGTTTAGCAGCATATGGCTTTGCATGCACCGCCTTCTGATTGCCGGAATATTGCTCGACGGCGTAGCAGACTTTTTAAGTCACATGTTGCAATCGAGTGATGTGATGAGCGATGTCACGTTTATTTTCTGTTGCGATCATTAAGGGCTCTGGCCGGAGGAGTCTCGAGCAACTGAAGTATTTGCTGTGGGAGTTTGGGCCCATGGCAATCTACAATCCCCGCGTTTTCAACGTGCTCATCGGGGTCATAGACTCTGTCGTTGGGGATGTAAAAGGGGAGGAAAAGGCGCGCTAGAAAGGGATCTTCTTGCGCAGAAATTTGGCGAGCATCGTTGAGTGCTACGTCCAAGATGAGCCCTGAATCTCTGGAGGTGATTTCTGGTTCTTCTGCGAGAACACTGACGTTCCTATGATTCTTCGGTACTTTGGCGCAGAAGTGCGCTCCCTACCGTCGCTGGAACAGTTTCTATTTACACGGGACGACTACGTTGATTTGCAAACGCTGTTCGAGGCAATCGCGAACTTGAACGAAGTAAACGTTGCCACCGTGAAGGACATCTGCACCCAAGACGTGCCGAGCAAGTCGCTGAACGTCGTCGAGGCCCAGCTGGCCGCGGCTGGCTTTCACAGTCTTGTGGTAGAGCAGGCCGCCTCGCCCTACTCGCCTTCCAGGCAGGTCGACATCTGTAAATGACACGGCACGCTCTCGCCAAGCAGATGCCTGGCGTGGTCGCGGGTCTGTCCTTCCGCCCCCTGCATCTTCGGCTTCAAGCCTGCCTCGTTGGTCCCTCATCATCCGCCCGTCCATTGATTGTGTTCTGTCAAAGGGCGCCGCACTCGCTGTCACCCTGGTGCATGCGCAGATGTTCTTGTCGTATCTCCACGATTGGGTGGTTAGAAAGGAAACTGGCGCGCGATATCCCGCGTCTGGGGAAGGAGGACGGAGGAGCCCCGGGCGCTGCCATCCGGCTCTGTCTTGGCCGTCACCCGCGCGGAGTCGCCCTACAGCGACGGCTTGCTTCCAGACGGGCACGGCATCCGATGAGTTTGGCTTCCCGCGCCTTGCGGCGAGAGCGAGCGAAGCGCCCGACTCGCTCCGCGCCCCGGCTCGCTCCTTGCCGAAAGCATGCTTCCACCGCGAGCCTCGGCCAGTGCACTGGGCCCCGAGGAAGCCCGCCAGGACCCGCCGGCGATCCACCTGCGCCCGCTGGTCTTTCTCCTGCTCAACTGCAGCTCCATGGCTTTGGAGCTGGCAACGTTGCTGGTTCAGAGGTCTCGGGTCATACTCTCGGCCCTGGTGATCTGGCCTCCGAGGTCTCTGGCACTCTCCGCGCGGCTTCGCGGACGACATCTGCAGGGATGGCACGTCACGAGCTGTATCCCAACATAGCCTCTGGCAAGGGTGGGAAATCTGGCGGAAAGGGGAAGCTTAAGTTCGCCGCTTCCACGCTCGCACTACAACACATGAGTCTCTGCATGTTGGCTTGGTGGAGCTGTTGCCAACGATATGTTTGTTTCCCTGTGCTTATGCAGTATAAACTTCGCGGAGAACATCGCGACACCTGATAGCGTACTTCCATGTATCCCAGACGTTTGCAGTCTCGGACTCCGACGTGGAGCTTTACCCTGGCAAGCTCGTCCAGCCCTCCTGGCATCGACCTGGCGCTACCCATTCTGAGCCACATGTAGCACTGAGGCAGGCTTAGCCAACCTCTCTTGCTTCTCAGTGGCTGGGCAGCCCCCAGTCTTTCTCACTACACGCGTCTCTGAACCTGACAGCTTGGGAGCATGCCGTTCACTCCATGGAGGTCTTCACTGGGGTCAATGACTGGAAGCCAGAGCGTGACCATCGCATGCGTGTTGTTTCTTGGGGCCTGATACAAGGATCCCACGCGAACGCCGAGCGCTTCGAGACCTCGCGACTGACGATGCCAGGAGTCCCCGATGAGTACAAGCCTGTGCTGTTCTGGAATGGTATGCAAATCTCGTTTGAATCATTCTGCTAGGCGAAGAGGGTAATGAACAGACATAGGGATCCCAGCCAGTTGGGTTTGCCAGTGTCGGCTTTGCGTGGCGGACAGGTCGCCAAGAAGATGCAGTAGTAGCGGAGTCATAGGCGTACTTGGTTCGCCTGTTGAAACTGGGCGTCTCTGGATTCTGAGGTAGCTGCCCGATGGTCGCATTCCTGTGTCGAATGCTGAATACATGTAGTTGTTGCATTGCTGACACTGCCGAGAAGACCTTTGCGCGCACTTTTTTGGACATGTGCATGATGAGCATTCCGAAGTGCCCCGTCGTGCACTCGGATGTTTCTTTTGGTATCTCGCTGGACACACACACACACACACACACGCCGCCCGCGCAGGAAATTTGTGTGGCAATGGCTCGCGCCAGCCGCAGGCCCTGCACGCCTCCCCGTGCGGGCGACCCGCTGTGCAGAGCCTTCTGGGAGGCTGGAGGCAACAGAAACATCTGGCATTCTTGACCAAGAAAAAGACCCTACATGTTCTCCTGGAGGCCGCCAACAAGCCCCAATATCATAAACACGCTGGAAAAGTAGTTGATCTTCGCCGTTTCTCTTTGTCGCTCCCGATAGGCTGCTGAGGGTTCAAGATGGACCCCAAGAGGCACCGAAGAGGCCCCCAAGAGACACGAAATGGCCCCCAGGAGGCTCCCACGAGGCCCCAAATCGCTTCGAAACGCCCCCGTGAGGTCCCTAAGAGGCCCCACGATGTCTTCAAGGGGCTCCCAGGAGCCCCCCAAAGGCTTCAAGAAACGCCTGGACGCTTGTAGAGGCCCCACAAAGCCCCGCAGACGCTCCGAGACTCACCCCGAGAAGGCTCCGCGAGCACACGTCCTTTGATGCGTGCTGCTTTTTCGGAGGTGTCGCCTTTCTGCCCTGGCCGAGCTTGCTGCGCTTCCGGGCGGTCCAGAAGTGCTTCAAAACGGGCCCACATGCGCCGCGAGACGGTCCCAAAAAGGCTCAGGACGGACCAGGAGGCATTCAATGCCTCCTGTTCTGGCCCCCCGCGCAGGCCCCACCTAACCGACCCACGCTCCTGCACCAAGCGAATGCGTCACACCCCGCGTGCAGCCCTCGGGCGCCGACGGCGGCACGGGCGCCACCTCCGCGAGGGCGCGGCACGGGCGGACAGTGCGGGATGGAGGAGGCGACGAGGAGCCGTGTGGAGGAGACGAGGGGCGGGCCGGCAGAGCAAGGCGGGATAGAGGAGACGAGTCGGCGGCGCGCCCGGGGAAGGGGGGGGGGGGAAGTGACAGGGGGGCGGGCCTTCTCAGAAGGTTCGGAAATCCTCGCCCAGCTCACGACCGCAAGCAGAACCTCGGCCTCGGGCTCACCCCAAGAGAGCCCCCAAGAGACCTCACCTTCATCCGGGCTTGCCCACTGCAGGTCGGCTTGTGTGGTGCTCTGGGCTTGCCCGGCGTCCCGCAGGCCTGCATTGCGACCATGTCCGAGGCGTCGAGATCTGGCAGTCACGCTCCCTCCTCCTCCTCCTCCTCCTCCTCCTCCTCCTCCTCCTCCTCCTCCTCCTCCTTCCCAAACAAAAATCCGCACCTCCATCCAACCCTATCTGGATCGGCGGGGTTCTGTTTAGCACGCCAGCTCTGTGACTCCCCCGCCCCCACCCGCGGGGCGCGCTTGGCCGAGCGGCCCCCGGGCCGCCGGAGCGGCGCATCGGCTGCAGGCTTTCCTGCCCCTTCCTTTACGTTGCATCTTCGGGTGGCCTCACCTGTCCCCAGAATTGGTGTCTTTTCTTGTGCCCGACGCGGGCTCGATGCGGACTCGACGCGGACTCGGCGCGCACTCGACTCGGATTCGACACGGATTCAACACGGATCCGACGAGTCCAGCATGGATTCGGCACGGAGTCGACGCGGATAGGGCCGCGACGAGACAGACAACGCCCCCCGAGAATGCAACCCAACTTTCCCGGCACGGGGAGCCGCAGGCGGGGGCAACGTCGGTATCCACGGCCTCTCGCGGGCCGGCTCCTCGCGGGCCGAGACCCCGTGGGTCCGGGGCGCCTCGTCACGGCTGCCCCGCGCGGAACGTTAAAAGACGAAGCCAGGGCGAGGGTAAAATCGGGCGAGGGTAAATCGCCGTGTTTGTATCGAGAGCTTCAGAGGAGGAAAAGGTACCCATACCTCTACCCTTTCCTCGTTTTCCCCATTTGGGGCCTCCGCAGAGGCCCTCGTCGCCACCGCTGGATTCCCTTCGAATTCCTGGTCAGAACGCACCCTGGGAGGGGTCCGGGTAGTAGCGGTATCGGTACCGTTTGGTTTCCCCAGTGTTGTTTTGGCATCGCTCGGACATGTGCATTTTGTCTTCGGCTAGGACCATCGAGGAGCATCCTGGATCCTCTTGCGGGAAGAAGGAAAACGCACGAAGCCGAACAAAAATGCAAGGGGAATGGGCGCCCGAGCGATGGCAAGTTGCGGCGATCCGAGGTACCGGGCGTCGAGCTCCAGCTCCTTCCCCCTGTCGAACGTCAACACTGGGGATCTCGCAGGAGCCCCCCGGCGGCGCCCTCCGCCGAGGCGCCCGCGCCGCCCGATGGAGCTACCGGGAGGGCTCCTCGTGGCGAGGCGGGCATCCCTCGCCGTTGCCGTCCTCGCCCTTGGCAGCGTCCTCCTCGTCTGCTCCCCCTCGCCCCTCCTCCCCGGAGGGCCCCTGCGTCGTCAAAGAGTCCCGGCGGACGGTCTTTCGCAGGCGTTTCGGTCCCCCCCGGGGGGGCATTCCTGGGCCCCGGAGGCCGACGCTCCACGACCGGGCCAGGAAGGGGTCCAGACATTTGGGTAGCTGCGCTGCGAACAGAAAACACGACGTCGGATGGTCGGGTTCTCCTCACCGTTCTCATACCAACTCTCCTCCTCAGTTGGGAGGTGGGCTTCCTCACAACGGAGCCTGAATTCAGCACGTTGCTGCGTCAGGCGAGCTCACCCATGATGATCAAGCTGCGACAGTAGCGCGCACACAGTTTGTCCCAGACCGATCTGCCTCATGGTCCTCCTCCTCGTTTTCCTCCTCCTCCTCCTCGTTCTCCTCGTTCTCCTCCGCCTCCTCCTCCTCCTCCTCCTCCTCCTCCTCCTCCTCGTTCTCCTCATCCTCGTTTTCCTTTCCGTCCTCCTCCTCGAGGAACAGGAGGAGGAGGGGAGGAGGAGAAGGAGGCCCTCGAAACACTAGAACGCCCCTGCTTTTCCGCGTCGTTGTCATCCTCCCCTCCCTCCCTTTTCTGCTCGTCTTTTCGTTGAAAGAGCCCGACAGTCATCATCCTCCTCCTCCTCATCATCATCAGCATCATCATCATTATCGTCGTCGTCATCATCATCATCAGCATGATCAGCAGCATCATCAGCATCAACATCATCAGCAAAATCATCATTGCTGACGCCACCATCATCACCATCAGCATCTGCAGCATCAGCACCAACTTCATCATCATCAGCAGCAGCAGTATCATCTTCATCAGCAGCAGCGTCAGCATCATCATCAGCATCATCATCATTATTATATGCGACATCCAAATCGTAATCATCATCATACGCATAATCAGCATCAGTATTCGTATCATCGTTCTCAGCATCATCATCACCCTCATCATACTTATCGGCATTATCATGTTCTCTTTGATAACATTATCAGCATCAACATCATCAGCATCAGTATTAACATCAGTATCATCCGTATCACCATCATCAGCATGATCATCATCACCAGCAGCATCGACTTCGATACAATTGACCTACATGTTTCTTTATTGTGCTCGCATCACATGCAGCCTGTTGTATCGCAGCCTTCTCCTCGTCCTCGTCATGATCCTGGTCCCTCCCATCCGCACACGTCCGCTCCCCCCCGTCCTTTCCCCGCCTCCTCCTGCTCATCATCTTCTTCTTCCTCCTCCTCCTGGCAGGGCCCAGTCTTCTCTCAGGTCTCGCTGGGTTCGCCTCAACCAGTTCGCGCTCTGTTTCAGTCAGAGCATTAGTATGTATAAAACTTGTTGATTCTCTGTGGTCGGTCATGTCTGCCAGGTGCGGAATTCCGGTGTCGGCAGGGTCTGGTCAGCGGCCTATACAAGGATTTTCCATATTCAATATTGAGGCAATGCATTCACTGTGGATTCGAGATGTAGCCTAGGATTTTGGCTTGGCACTGCCAGGCTGCTGCTTACCGCGTTTGCCTTCGCAATGAGGCGTACAGGAAGATCGGGAATGCCATCGCTACGATCTTGGAAGTCCCTTGGGGATGGTTCGTCATGGCAGATCACTCCCAGCCGCTGTACCGTTCCTCGATGTTCAATGCTTAGGTGGAGTCTGGTCCGAGCTCACAGCTTTCCCAGGGACCCCCAAGGAGCCCGTCGCCAATCTACAGGCCAAGCGTACAAGGCCATGATGACATTATTTCCCGATCTTTCCGTTCGGGGGTTTGTTATTATTATTTTTCTTCTGCTTCGGAAGTGATGTGGCTTATGTGAAAACCTGGTTGCCGACCTCACTATCATCCGCGTCAACGTATTAGCGAAATGGGCCCCTCCTCACCTCATCTCTACGCTCTTGAAGACGTATTTGAATGTATGGAACACCTCTGCCAGGTACCAGCTCTGGTCCTGAGAGGTGCCGCTGTGGATGTGACTAAGCAAGTGGTGAAGCCTTGAGGAATGATAGATATTGCCCTCATGTTCAGCAAGTTGTGGAAGATTTTCTTCCTCATAGTAAGCTCTTATCCGTCACCCGCGGCTGTGCGCGTGCCTTTGCCGCCGCATTGTCCGCTGCACGGCGAGCTCTCCAAAAGGCCAGGGCTGGGGCGAAGGATGATGAGCAGCAGTTTCAGCAGCAGCAGCAGGACGAACCTCCCGACTGAGTCTGTCTGTCCTGCTCCTCCCCCTCTTCCTCCTCCTCCTCCTCCTCCTCCTCCTCCTCCTCCAGATACTCCTCCTCCAGATCCTCCTCCTCCTCCTCCTCGTCTCGTTGCTCCCTTTCCTCATCCCTTCTGCTCCTCCTTGCTTTGGGCCTGTCGCTTCAGAACCTCCGTGTCGTCCTCCACGTCTTCCGCCCCATCCTAGTTCAACTCCCCCGTCGCCCCCTTCCACCCCATCCGCCCCGTCGGCCCATGTTTCCTCCTCCTTCTCCTCTGGCTCCTCCTGCGCTTCCTCCTCCGCTCCCCCAGCATCCTCTTCCCCCCTCCCCCTCTTCCCCCTCCTTGTCGCCCTTCTCACCCCAGCCCTCTGTCATCCTCCTCCCCCTCCTCCCTCTCCTATCCTCCCCTATCCCATCCTATCCGTCCTCCTCCCCCTCGTTGTCCCTCGTCTACGCCCCCGCTCCCCTCCACGGCCACTTCGGGCTCAGGCGGGGCTCCACCGAGTCGGGCCGACTGCGCGCTGGCCTCCGAGACCGCCGCGCGCCTCGCTGACCGCCGTGCCCTGTCCCGACGCGCACGGCGAGGGCATGGCGTCGCTGCCGCGGCACCGGCGCCCGAGCCACGAGCCCCAGGGCCGGCCACCGGCGCCCCAGGGCGGCGCGCTGCTCTGGCCCGCCGGCGCGCTCTCGCGGGGGCCCGCCGCGGCGGCGGTGGCCACCGCGGCGCCCCCCGCGGCGGCGGCCGCCGCCTCGCGAGCGGCGGCCGCGGCCGCCCCGCAGCGAGGCGGCGAGGGCACGTCGCGGCACGGCCGGTGGAGCTGCAGCGAGCAGGGGCCTGCCTGGCGCGCGGGGCCCGGCAGCGGCCGGCGCGAGGAGGGTCGGCCGTGGGGGGCGGGCGCCGAGCCCGAGGGGCGCGGCCTGGGTCCAGACTTGCTGCGCCGCATGCGGTCGGAGGGCCTCGAGAGGTTCACGGAGGCTCGGGTCGGACGGGGCCAGGACGAGGATGAATCCGTGTCAGAGCGAAAGCTCTCAGAGCGTTCCAGAACGCTCTGAGAAGGCCGCGGCGACCGAGACGTCCTCCAGAGCCGCCGGATCTCAGAGATTCTCGAGATATCGTGACCCGATCTTATCTTCGCCCTGGCTTCGTCGCATCGGGGGCGCCCAAAGGGTGCGGTGAGCGCACCGCGTGGTGAGTCAGAGAGGGATCGGGGTGGCCGCACGGCGTTGGGACTTGGGTCTTTTTCCGAGGATGTCTCGGGCGACTGGGGCGTCCAAGTTCCCGAGCTCGTGCGGTGACGGGCCGTGCGGCGAGGTTTCGTGGGATTTCGAGGTCACCACACGCTCCACCGCACCTTTTTGGGACCCCCGAGAGGTGTTATTCGGCCTTGGGGTCGAGCAAGCCTCCGACCTCGCCTGGCTCCACGAGCAGGACTCCTGGGCGAAAAGTATATCCGTATCCGCGGCCTCGCGGGCAGGGCCCTGGGGCTGCGACCCCAGCCAGAGACAGGGGCGGCTTTCATCGTGGATGCCCCGCCCGGAACGTCTCCGCGCGACCGCGCCCCAGAATCCACATCGCGAGGGCGCGGATACGGAGCTGTTCGCCGCTCGTGGAGGACCTGCGGGACGCGGGCGTCCCCCTCGTCGATTGCCGCAAACTGCTTGCGCTGGCGCCAGCGGCGCCCGCTGCACCGGCCGCCCCCGCTGGCGCGCACAGCTCGGCGTGCGCAGGGGCGCCCGCGGGGGGCAGCGGCGGCGGCTCGCGGGGGCCGCCTGTGGGGCCCCCTGCGGGGCCGGAGGGGGCGGGCCAAGCACGCCGGGTCGAAGCCTTGAGGAGGATCGGGTTGAAAGAGGGGGGGGGATAAGTTGAAGAAGAATAAGAAGAACACGCTGCAACAACATAGGAAGAATCATGTGAAAAAGAAGAAAATAAAGAAGAATAGTAAGAACGAGGATCACAATAATGGATTGCAACAGCAACAACAACAACTGCGTAGACATAGACTTTCGGAGGTCGGCGCGGATTTCTTGGATCTGCGACGGGCCCCCTCTGGCGGCGCCTCTGGCGCCGCCCCTGGCGCGCTCCGCGCGCATGGGAGGGGGATCCGGCGCTGATCCAAGAGACCCGCGCGAACCTCCAAGAAGTTATGTTTACGTGCGCCGCGTTCTGCTCCTATAGGGAAGGGTTGGGGGGGGCACGAAATCTGCTGCATGCAGCTAGTCTCAAGTCGGGCATGTCCCTCTACAGGAGGGAGGAACACTCCAGAACTGTAAACGGATAGTATGGTGACGATTATTAGTGCTCTTTTGTTTTTTTTTTTTTATGTTTTGACTACTTGTACTTTCTCTTCCTAAATCTATATTGCCGACAATTGTTTGTCTATTTTTCTGGTTGATTATGTTATGTTTGGTTAAGTTCGATGATCTATTCACGATGTATTACGTTTCTTCCCACATCCGCCTGTAGGAGGACTTGCCAGACCTAAAGCTAGTCTCGTCTCCACCGCCAGGCGCCTCCTCCTCGATGCACTGGCGCCCCCGGCGGCCCGGGGGGCGCCAGGCGACTCGGCCACGCGAGCGGAGTCGCCGCGGTAGGCTCTTGCGCCAGGCGACGAAATCTACACACATGAGGCGTCCCAGAAAGGGCCTCGCCTTCGAG